GCAATGAACTTCCGGTACCCGACTGAATGAGCAGTGCAAACAGGCTTATAGTCCTGCAAGTGATCAAGGTGTTTCCAGCCATTAGTGAGGAAAGTGAAGTACTGAAGAACCATCTGCTCTCTCTGAACAGAGCTCTCAATAGGGTTGCGCAACTCAAATGCCTGTGAGAAATTCCCTTTGCAGGAATAGGTGGTAGCCATAGCATCCCAAACATCCTGAGCAATCTCCATAGATAAGTAGCCCTTGCCAATGTCTGGTACCATCAAATGAATAAGCCAACCTATAATCACAGAGTTGGTAATCTCCCATTGGTCATAACCCGGGTCAGTTGTGTTAGGTGCCTGTATCCTGCCATCCACATATCCCATCTTCCCTCTGCTCTTCAAAAACATAGTCAAACTTTGCGACCACGCGAGATAGTTCTGACCATTAAATAGGGAGGTAGGGTTAGGGTTCTTAGTCATAGTAGTAGGTATAGGGAAACTCTGACTCTTAGGTGTCGAAGAAGTAGTGGACACACTGGTAAAATCTGCCATAGATATTGTACTACCAAACCCTCAACAAAACTAGTGCCAATCACAAACCCGGAAGGTGGAGGAATACAAACACAATGACCACTAAGAAAATTAAGGACTTAAAAAACTCTTCGACCTTTTTTTTTTGAATTTTTAAATTTTTTATTTTTTTATTTTTGTGTGTGTTTGGTTTTAAATTAAAGTAAAGGAAAAAACGAGGTGAGGTGAATACAGATGACAAACAGAGCTTCCAAGTCACAAAGAGAACTCATTGATGCATCATCACGAAGACGCGACAAGAACAGACGACAGACAATCAGAGACAGACGCACCCAGTCGGGGCTACGATGACTACAGGCAGACACACCCAGTCGGGGCTGCCTAGGGCTCTCCCAGCCTAGTCGGCCACTGCCGTCAGGTCTCTTGACCTGAGCTTCGTCGACGAGTGACGATGGCGAGTGATGATAGTCCTAAGGGTGTGACAACTGTGTGGTGGCTTTGTGGTGGTTCCGGTGGGTACTGTTTGGGTAGAGAAATTTAGGTTTTAGGGTTAGGCTCTAATACCATGTTGTTTTTAGAGAATACCAAGATTAGGGAATGATTAGGCTATCATCCCCTATTTATATTAATGAAGTTAATAATTACAAGAGAGCCCTAAGGCATAAAATAATTACAAAATAATAACCCAAAAACATAATATTTTATTCTAACAGTTACATTATTTTTTAAGTTTTTGTTGATGTAGTGACTTTAACTTACAAGGATTTGCCTTAAAAAATTTAGAGCATGATGAATGTAACAGACGAATACATCAGGAGGATATGGCCAATAAACTTGGAGCATAATGGATGAAATGGAAGAATACACTAGGAGTATTGTGTAATTGTACAATTACTGCTAAGTTAAAGAAAAATTTCTACAGGATTACTGCAAGGCTAGTTTTGTTGTATTTTGCAAATGTGGGGAGGTGAAGAAACGAGTTCAAAAAATGGGTTTAGTTTAAATGAGAATGTTGAGATTGATGAGTGGTGTTATAAGGAAATTTAGAATAATAAATGCATGCATTCATGAAATTTTGGAAGGGGCACTAATTGAAGATTAAATGAGCGAAAATAGTTTGAGATAGTATAAATAATCATGTAGAATTTAGATCAACATCCTAAATCCTAAACTCTTAAGTAGTCGGCCACTGCCGTCAGGTCTCCTGACCTGAGCTTCGTCGACGAGTGACGATGGCGAGTGATGATAGTCCTAAGGGTGTGACGACTGTGTGGTGGCTTTGTGGTGGTTCCGGTGGGTACTGTATGGGTAGAGAAATTTAGGTTTTAGGGTTAGGCTCTAATACCATGTTATTTTTAGAGAATACCAAGATTAGGGAATGATTAGGCTATCATCCCCTATTTATATTAATGAAGTTAATAATTACAAGAGAGCCCTAAGGCATAAAATAATTACAAAATAATAACCCAAAAACATAATATTTTATTCTAACAGTTACATTATTTTTTAAGTTTCTGTTGATGTAGTGACTTTATAACTTACAAGGATTTGCCTTAAAAAATTTAGAGCATGATGAATGTAACAGAAGAATACATCAGGAGGATATGGCCAATAAACTTGGAGCATAATGGATGAAATGGAAGAATACACCAGGAGTATTATGTAATTGTACAATTACTGCTAAGTTAAAGAAAAATTTCTACAGGATTACTGCAAGGCTAGTTTTGTTGTATTTTGCAAATGTGGGGAGGTGAAGAAACAAGTTCAAAAAATGGGTTTAGTTTAAATGAGAATGTTGAGATTGATGAGTGGTGTTATAAGGAAATTTAGAATAATAAATGCATGCATTCATGAAATTTTGGAAGGGGCACTAATTGAAGATTCATAGTTTGAGACGGTATAAATATGATTAGGAATCATCACGGTTTAAAAAATTTTTTAGTTAGGGAACTTTCCTTGTTGCATGCAAATTTCCTTGCATGAATCTTTTGTTTGAAAACTTATTTTTGGGAAAGTTTCCCTTTTGTAGAGAACCCATTTTTTGGAAACTTTATTCTCTGAAAGTACAATTTTGGGGAAGTTGACTAATTTGAAGATGCTTCTATTTAGATGTTATTTATTTTTTATTTGTATAATTTAAATTAACAACTTGATTTTTTTTTGCTTTATATTGTTCTTGTGTGTTAATTTTTTGGGTTTAAATGATGAATGAAAGAGTAATGAGTAAAGGCTAACCACAGTTGGTCTATAGGGGATGCCTTTTTCCCTTCTTACTTTATGCCTTAGCTCCCGAACTAGGTTTCCTAGTGAAGTAGGTGATACAACTTTTTAACTGAAAGTCCTAATTTATGTTCATGTAACCAATATGGGCTAGAGGTTATTTCTACTGATTTGGGTTGGAGTTAAATCTTGTTTATTTCATTGGAATTGGGATGTTTGTAGGAATGTGATTATTTGTATAATTTAAATTAACAACTTGATTTTTTTTGGCTTTATATTGTTCTTGTGTGTTAATTTTTTGCGTTTAAATGATGAATGAAAGAGTAATGAGTAAAGGCTAACCACAGTTGGTCAATAGGGGATGCCTTTTTCCCTTCTTACTTTATGCCTTAGCTCCCGAACTAGGTTTCCTAGTGAAGTAGGTGATACAACTTTTTAACTGAAAGTCCTAATTTATGTTCATGTAACCAATATGGGCTAGAGGTTATTTCTACTGATTAGGGTTGGAGTTAAATCTTGTTTATTTCATTGGAATTGGGATGTTTGTAGGAATGTGATTCTTGGGGGTTTTTTTTGACCTGCATGATTCTTGGAAATTTTATTAATTAGATGACCAGACTTTTTTTTTAAAAAAAAAATAATTAATTCTTTGCTTGAATTCTCACCTACTGAACAAGCCCATATTTTCAAGTTAATCTTGAAAACTGAACATTGCAAATAATTTCTTTAGTTCCTAAATTGCTCTGATTATCATTATGAAAAGCGAGCATGCATCAATATCTGATTTTTGAATTCATTCTTGTATTTTGTAATGATTTATCTTGAGATTCTTTAGTCTTTAGTCTAACCTTTTCTTCTTCCTCTATTCCTTTTGCAAAAGAACCTTTTTTGAATAAGGTGATTGAAGAGTGAGTATTGAAGGATTTGGATTTCTAAGCTATTACAGTGAGTGTAACTTAAGTATTTGTATCCTCAAAATGCCTCCTCACATCTGTCCGAACTCCACAATAAGCAGATCAAACACGTGCATGTATTATAATGGTCAAGTATGCAATGAAAATTGAACACAAGATCTTTGCTTGCTCTTATCCTATGTTGCAGCCATCTCTTTTTGAGCTGTTAAGAGTGTGACTTAGTATTTGTATGCTTTAACCAAGCATGCTTCAGGTTGTTCTCATTATCCTACTCAATGTGGAAGAAAATAGTTAGGAGGGGGGAGGGGGATCGTAAATCAACGCAGTTGCAATCAAAGGGTTTAAATCATAAAGTGGGGGATTGCATTTAGTTATTTGATAGGTTTAATATGCTCTGCATGGCATCGCTTATTCCTCTTTTTGAAGCAACATGGCCTTATATGGGTGGTGTCAGAAGCGATCAAGTTTTTAATCTTTGGGGAAGAGTTAAAACAACTCAGAATCCTGTTAGGAGTTTTGTTAGTCTTGTGTGCAGTCTAGCCCTTTGGGTTGTAATAGCATGCTATCTTTACATGCATAAAAGGATCAACTGAATGCAAATCAGCTCACATGAGCCCTTCAATAGATTTTCAAATCAATGGACCCATTTAGCTGATAAATAACATTATACTAATTGGCTTATGTTTATTATTCCAATATTTAGTTTATTCAAATTTTATCGAACATTGCTTGTAAAGAATGTCTAAGTCTTGACATGTATGTAACTAGAGATTTTTTTTTAACCACATGGTTAAAATTAATCAAACAAGCTGATTTCGTTTTTTCCGGTAACCTAATAATGTGTATTGAAGACATACGCTTTAGCAATGCAATGAGCCGCCACCACAAGGGGGTGATCTGGCTATAATTGGAGGTATTTCAAGGGAAGTAGAAAAAAAAATTTCACCTTAATGAAAGCACCTCAAATGAGGCTTTTAATGAACATATAAGGAGGCCTGATTTATGCATTTAATAGTTGGTTTGAGGGTATTTTCTGTATATAAGTATGTATTTATCAACATAAAAGTTTGGTTACACCCATGGCAGATCACTTGAAATGTCCCTGAATTATTGGTCAGGTTGATATTTTCGCAAGAATCTCTCATGAAACTGGGTTGTGTTATGAATAGGGTCCAATAAAATGCTTATCTGTCCCTCTCTTTGGAAGAAAAAGAATTGTATGATGCAAAAAAGGGACATAGGTTCACAATTAAAATATTCTTTGGAAATATAACTTACTAAGCTGCAAAGACAAACGTAACTGTGCATTTTCTAGTTCACTTTACTTACTAAGATGTCATTGCTTCTTTAGGGGCTACCACAGGTTTTGTTATGCAGAGTAGGATTTCTTAAAGAAGTACTTCTTTTACCAGCTCTTACTAATGGAGATGAGAAGGTGATTGGTGGTCTTGCATGCTTGATGTCAGAAATTGGTCAGGCGGTAAGTATTTAAATTCTAATTTGAGTATGAGCTTTCACTGTATTTATCCCTTTTGAGTTAGAATAAATATGTTTTTGAACTAAAAGGACAACCCAATGTATGAGGCTCCCACTATTGTAGGGCTTGGGAATCTACCATTGTAGGCTTGGGAAGGGTCACAATAAATATGTTTTCGAACTCTCTAAAATTAAACGGTGGTGCTATATGCACCAATTAGTGTATCAACACTAGTTACGACATTATTATTGACCTCACTCATTAATCACATTACAAATACCAAAAATCTCTTAAATTATGCCATATCATCAATTGGTACACTAGTTAGTACACTAATTGGTGCATATAGGATTATTCAAAATTAAAAGTAGATGTTCCTGCACAAATACCAACAAGCACGTGTTCAGATTCTACATATTGATCATTGTGACTTGAAAGAAATTTTTTTGACGGAATATTCAAAGAAATTTTTAGATGGAATATTCAAGTTATGTACAATATATGTGTAGGTACATGGGTTCTACGACTTGCCACATCAGCACCACTAAAGGGATGGATCCCACAACTATACTCGCTCTACTGGACTCAAGACTCATACCCTGATGCTACACAATTTGCCTAGGTCAAGAGTAGGGCCTAGGAACACCCCAAGGTTGGTGCCTCGATTATGGGATGCTTGAGCAACCTATCACCCCACGTGGGATCACCAGGGACTTGTCTATTTATGGCTAGACTTAGGGGATTGTTAAAGTTGCCCAATTCCCTACCCAGGTGATTTCATTTTGATTAGTCTTAGACATGAGAGAGAAGTCTCTTTGACCAAGTCAAGGATGAGTTGGCCTTTATGGTCCAACTCTTCTATAAAAAGTCTTCACCTCCATATAAGACACACCTCAAGGAAAGCTTTCTACACACTAGCATAGTTATCAAAATCCCGGTCCGGATCGTAGGATGTTACCTTTGAACGAACCCAATTGAACCAAATTATCTAGATCGCACTAATATCTTAAATTTTGTAGGATATTAAAGTGCCTACGATCTTAGTCTTAAAATTGCATATAATCGCACTACAACCCGATCCTACCAAATTTTTTTCTTATTATTTATTTCTTATATATGTATGTATGTGTATAAATTTTTTGCATATAAACTCCTCCAAATGTCTCCTCTAATTTTTGTTAATATACAAGATGCATTATATCAATTTGATCATTTTGCATTAATGATTTTAAAATTATTTAACATACATTATCATTATCAATAAATTCACTTTATCTTGCATTGAAAATAGAATCTTATAGTTGAATTTTGTAATAAGGCAATAAGGTTGAATATGGAGAAATAATAGAGACATAAAAGAGAAAAGAAAGAACACAAAGGTTTAACGTGGTTTAGCCAATGTTGGCCTACATCCACACACACAAAGCCCTAAGGGGTTACATCTTTCATTCACTTAACTTGATATTCTTGTTTACATGATACACCATATATATAAAGTGAGATGCAATCAATCCCTTTAGTTAGGGAATTAAAATAAATTAAAGATACAAAAGAATCATAATATGCACAAATCATGAGATCTCATATATTCTTATATCTTCTATATCTTCTGATATCTTTGATAATATAATCTTATTTCCAACACTTACAATCCTCGATCTGATTCTACAATCCGGTCCACGAGTCTCTCCTAACGATCCCATCCAAGATCCCGATTTTAACAACCTTGCACACTAGAGAGTAGCTTCCATCTCCCTGGCGTGCCCAAAGGCTCATCCTCCACTGCCACATTCTCTCTCCCTCTCCAAGGCTGCCTCAGCTGTCACCCTTTCCACCTTTGGGGGTCTTGTGCCATCTTTGTGCCTACCATGATTCCTAGGGGGCCTACAATAGGCTCACAACACTTATGACCATCTGCAATTTGCTCTCTCATTTGTTACTTACAAATATATAGGAACATAGAAAAGAAGGATCTCCATGACGTGTACATGTCGGTTGAACTAAATTTCATTGAAATTTATTTTTCCACTTAGATGGTGCTCGTACATGTTGTGCAGCCTGCAGTACCCCCTTTGAATACTCCAAAAAGTTCTTATTGTTGATTGAGTACCAGGTCTCCAATTGATTGACCAACAATAATACCTATATCTTCTCCCAATTCAACCAGGTCCCTCAAAAACTGTGCATCTTACATCTTATATGTTTTTTGATATTTCTGTCTTGGGAAAACTTATTGTGCCATTGGTGATGATAAAACTTTTAGGACTTGGGAGAGGTTGAAATCTGTCTGACTCTTATTTCCATTCGCTTTTCGTTAGGCACCATCTCTGATTGTAGAAGCAAGTCCTGAAGCACTTGCATTGGCAGATGCACTTCTGAGGTCAGATTCAGTTTTAACTTTTTTTACTGTACTTGAAGGGACATTGTGGGATATGTATGTGAGAAATGGTTACTCAGCATGCTTGACTATATGTGCCTAATGGTTCGTCTATTGTGCTTTAGCACTCTTCTTGAGTTGAAGTGTATATGAGGTATTACATGGAGTGATGGACATTAAGTTCTTTGAAAATCAAATTTTAGACGATGCATGTAAATTGTGTACATCAACTCAAGCAATGGATAAAGACCAAAGGATGCTAAGGGGAGCACACATGAGCATGCTGTGATAAGTTAGCTCATACTTTTGCATTTATGTCTCTTTTTTAGCATTTGTAGTCTAACAAGATTATAAGCTCCTCTTTTCAGTGAGTTTTGTATCAGATGTTTGTACTAATCTCCATCTGACATGTCAACTATGCTGGCAGTTGCGTAGCATATCCAAGTGAGGAATGGGAAATAGCAGACTCAACTTTGCAGTTCTGGTACCACTTTCCATGCTTTATTCTTGTTATCTATTTTCTTTGCCGCTTGATTGTCTTTTTGGTTGTTCCTTGAAATATAAAGATTAGTAGCACTAGAATTCTTTGGCATTAAGTGAATCATATTTGAGTTGCTTCTGGCAAATGAATTGGTATTCACGTTTCTCAATCACATTGATGGTTTTGGAACTAAAGGCTTACAAGTAACCACCCTAAAGGGCAGGCATGTGAGCACGGCATGCATATGTGCATTCGTGGCATATTTTTTTCAACTTTTTCACATGATTAGTGCGAGTTTTATACATCAGAATACTATTTACCGACATCCTTTTTGCATTGCTGTAGTGATAATTATGGTTTCAATGTCCCATTGAAGATGGTTTCAATGGTGCCATTGAAGATGATCAATCTTGCTTTGCAAGATGGCAATGCTTCATGTGGTTTGTACGTGGTATTTGTGATTATAAACTTTCTTAGTTGTGTTTCAAATTCAAATCATTATAACTGTAAGCTTGTTTTGTCTTCTTTCTTTCCCAGGTGTTGTCTTGCAAGCTATATTCTTGGCCTCGATGTGGACAGTGGCAAAAACAAGAAAATTGCTGAAGATATGTTTTTTTCTGTATTCTCAGCATTACTTGATGCTCTTCTATTGCGTGCTCAGGTATTTCATTATTCTTCCACTTGGTTTTCAGTATGAACACGTAGTCCATCTCCTTTCTGAGTAAACATCTGTTTCATTTTGCTGGGTTGTTCTGGGCAAGATTGTACATTCTTGAAGCTGGAGGCCAATGTTCATACTTTATCTAACTGTTCTATATGCTGTCATAATTGAATTGAGTAATTCAGCTTATTACTTTGATTAGAGAATTATTCAATAATTTTGTACATTAACCTTAAACAGGGGCGAGGTCTCTGGTTGTGAAACATTTGAATATTAAAAGATGGGATGGAAAGAATGGTTAAAACCTAGAGTTTTGGCTGGAGTGGTGTTCATCCTCAGAAGAGTCTTCTTCTTCATCATCCAATCATCTCTATGAGTTCAGACTCTCCCTCTCCACCTGGGTCTTGGTCTCTCTACATCTGTGTGTTTAGATACCTTTTTTTTTCCCTTATACTTTTCCTTTCAAATTTGAGCTAACCACAGCATGTCTCATGCATGAAACTACAGCCAACTCATTTGAGTCCTCTTGTGACGTTTTGCTCACTGAAAACCATGCCCCTACTTTAAGTCTTCCCAATTAAGATTTAAGCTAAGCATTTATACGGTCACAATGAGTCACGTATGGCCAAAATTCTTTCCATGAGTGGACCAAGCACATGCATTTATTATAATTATCAAGCTGTGAATATTTGGCTTCCTGACCCACTCTGATACCATGTAAACAACCAACTGTTTGAAAAGCTTAGCTGATAGAGAGGCTCATCAATATAATTGATTGGTAGTTCTTTCTTTCCCAAAACCACCTCATTATCTTTCTAGGGACCTCACTATAAGGTTCTTATGGGTCAATATATGTTAGATGGTGCCCTTCTTTTGTTTTTGTTTTGTTTTCATTTTTTGTAAGGTTTCTATGGGTTAAAATATGGCACAGATGGAATTCAGGTCCTCTTCATTACATCGTTGTAATAGTTAAAATAATAGAAGAAAGAAAAAGAGAAGAACTGGAGAAGAAAATAAAATGCGGTTCTTGAGAGAGAAACACAACTAGTTAGGTTCACTCCCATAAACCCATGTATTTATATTAAAATCATCTTAAGTATACAATTACCCTTTAGACTATAAAACAATAACATCTAACAGTAATGGAGAATCTTCATTACATCATCGAATGGTGGTTAAAAAACCACGCCAATTGTTGTAATGAATTTTTATAACCATTGGATGATGTAATGTGTGAGAATATTATGTTACTTATGTAAATATATTAGATTGATTGTGGGAATATTAGGTTTATTCTTATTTCGTATTTTAGACTAGGTCTAGGATTGCTTTATATATTGATTGTACTCCTTGTATTATACACAATTGAATATACGGATTTATTTAGAAAACTTACTTGGTATCAGAGCTAGGTTCGAAACACTAGCAGCCATTGTCGAAGCTCTTCTGTTTCGTTGGGTTCTCTGGTTCAGCCTTCTGAATACGTGCGACCTATCTGGTTCGAGATTGGGTGTGGTTCGTCTAGTCTCTGTTCGAGTCGACCCATCTAGTTCGTCTGGTCTTTGTTCAAGTTGATCGTGGTCGATCTCCCCTCTCACCAGACTCGTGATCCTGGTTTGCCCTTGTCCCTCTCGATCGATCGACTCCATCTAGTTCGGTCTCTCTCAATTTGGATTTGCGAGTCGATTTGGTTTACCTATCTAGTTCGTCTGGTCTTTGTTCAAGTTGATCGTGGTCGATCTCCCCTCGTACCAGACTCATGATCCTAGTTTGCCCTTGCCCCTCTCGATCGATCGACTCTATCAAGTTTAGTCTCTCTCGATTTGGATTCACGAGGTGGTTCTTTTTGTCGCGAAAGTTTCTCTCCTTTTTGCGCGCGCCCGCGCGCGTTACCTCTGTCTGACTCTGGCTTCTCACTCGATTGGACCTCCCTCTTGAATTCTCTTTCTGTTTCTGGTTCTGGGTATTTACACTTAAAGCCCTAATTTTTTGTTTATTATACTTTGACTCATAAAATTTTATAAACTTTGTTTTATTACAAAGTTGGACATTAAAATCCAAGTCATCAAATGGAAACTCACTGGTAGTAATTATGCCTATTGGGCTAGTGTTTTGAAGAATTTTCTTCGTGGTTAGAAAAAATTAGGCTATGTTTCTAGTTTTGTTCCTTGTCCATCGGACCCGAAAGAGGAAGGATATCTGACTTCCTGTGATACTTGGAATTATGATAATATTCGAGTTCTGACCTGGTTTCATAATTCTGTGGATGACCGTAATGGAATGATGTTTTCCAAATACAATATTGCCAAGGAGGTGTGGGATTATTTATTGGGTATTTATTGGCAATCCAATTTTGCCAAGCAGTATGAGTTAGAAACAACTATTCAGAGTACTTGTCAGTTGGATCAGATTATTCGGGATTTCTATATTGAGATGGCATGTCTCTGGGATCTGTTGGCTCTCATGAAACCACTTAGCCTCCAAGTACTAGACGCTTATGTTAGGTTTTGGGAGCAGGGTTGTTTAGTGTAGTTCTTTACGACTCTCTCACCTCAGTATGAGGCTATCCGTGGTGGCATCCTTCGTTAGTTTCCTCTTCCCTCTGTGGATGCTATTGTTTGTGAGCTCCTCTTCGAGGAAATCTGTCTTAAGACAGCCAGTCAGACTCTGTCTCCCGCTGTCTTCTTGGCTCTTGCTAAGCCTCCTTTGTTATTGACCACACCTCCTCATTAGCTTCAGGCCACTGTGAAGCTGAAGAAGGGGTCATTAGGTCCAGATGAGTGTGTTTTCTGCTACCAGAGGGGTCATTGGAAGTACAACTGTCCTAAGAAGGGACGTTAGCCTGCTCTGTCTTCTCAGCCACCTCAAACATAGTTCTGCGGTCTTGCTCCGAGTACTTTTCCTCCTCCTGTCGCTTATATTGCATCTGCTCCAGCTCCAGTTCCAGATCTTGACTTGGCTTTCTTAAGTGCTCTGATTGCTCAACTTCAGTATATCTTGTCCTTCTCTTAGCCATCTCCATCTGCCTTTGCTCTTATCTTTCTTGATTCAGGTTTGCTTAAGTCCTCTTCAAGTATCCCTTCTTCTATCTGGCTTTTTGATTCTGGTGCCTCTTATCATATGACTCCTCACATTTCCTTACTTCAAAACTGTATTTCCCCTCCTGTTCTTATTACTATTAATATTGCTAATGGGTTTGGTATGTATGTTCTATCTATTGGGTTTGTTTTACCCTCTGCCATGTCTGTTGTTACTATTCCCTCTGTTCTTTATGTTCCTCAGCTATCTGTCAGTTTATCATCTATCAGTCAACTTGATGCTTCTGGTTTTGATGTTATCTTTTCCTCTTTTATCTGTTGTGTGCAGGATCGGGTGTCAAAGAAGCAGATTGGGATTGGCCATAGAGTTGGAGATCTCTATGTGGTAGAAAGCTTGCATCTCCCTATATCCACCTCTCTAGTTGCACTTTCCTCGTTTCAGTTAGATTCTCAGTCAAGTCAGTTTTATTTATGGCATTCTCGCCTAGGTCATTTGTCTGTTGACCGCTTATGGTTTTTAACTCAGTCAGGATTGTTGAGTTAAGTTTCTCCTAGTCAATTTAGTGAATGTCGGGGGTGTAAACTTGCCAAAACGTCAACTTTACTATTTAATAAAACTATTTCTATTTCTATTTCTCCATTTTCTCTTATGCATCCTGATGTCTAGGGACTCTCTCTTATTCTTACTAAAGGGGGTTTTGTATATTATGCGTCTTTTGTTAATGATGGCACCCACTATACTTGGGTTTATCTTATGAATCATAAATCTGATTTCTACTAAATGTACCGTACCTTTCAGTCTATGATCACTATACAATTTGGGTCTACCATTAAATTGTTACGGTTTGACTTAGGTGAAGAATATTTTAAAACTGAGTTTTGTGAGTATTTGGTCAATTTGAATACCATTCACCAAATTTCCTGGACTAATACACCCGCCCAAAATGCGAGCATAAATACTGTCATCTCCTTGAGACAGCTAGGTCTCTGTTTCTTTCTGCCTCTGTTCTAGCTCCCTTTTGGGGTCAAGCAATTCTTATAGCTATTTTTCTTCTCAACTGTATGCCTACCCCTTACTCTCTGGTCGTTCTCCTTATGAGGCTCTGTTTTTTGAACTTCTCAATTGCTCTCTCCTTTGTGTTTTTAGGTCTGCGTGTTTTGTCCTTCTTCTCCGGGAAGATAGGACAAAACTCAATACCTAGTCTGTCCTGTGTCTTTTTAGATTATAGTCTTACTCAAAAGGGCTATCATTGTTACGATCCTATTTCCTGCCGTCTTTATGTCTCCCGCCATGTTGCCTTCCTGGAATGTCTAGCTTATTTACAGTTTCCCCCTATCACTGCTTTGGTTTCTAAAGAGGATTTGGTTCACATTGATCCATTTTCTTTTGAGGTCCCTCCTAATGAGTACATTTATACTGTTTCCCATATGCTTGTTTCCCGTTCTTCTACCACCCCTCCTGCTGAGTCCTTCGCCAGTATCCCCTACGAGTCTGTTCCATCCTCGCCACCTCCTTCTCCTCCTTGTCTCTTCTCCTCCTCCATTGTTAGTCTATTCTTGTTGCAAGGCTCTCCCTCTACCAGTTGTCTGTACCCCTACTGTTGCTGCTCCTGTTTCTGAAGACACTGATCCTGTTTCCCGTCGATATCCTGATTGTTAACGTCATTTTCTGAACAGGTTGGGTTTCTCAAATACATGTTTTCTTGCTTCTTGTAGTACATTCTTGCATGTTATTCATTCCTTTTCAAAACGTCAGTCTTATAAGAAGTCCTATTAGGATCCTAATTGGGTTTGAACTATGGAGGATGAGTTGTCTGCTTTACTAAAAACTAGTACTTGGGCCTGGTTCCTTTGCCTATTGGTAAGAATTTGGTTGGTTGCAAATGGATCTACAAAGTCAAGACTCATTATGATTGTTCTCTTGAGCGATACAAAGCTCACCTGGTTGCTAAAGGTTTTTCACCAGAGTATGGTATTGATTATGAGGAGATCTTTGCCCCCATTGTCAAGATGACTACTGTCTGTACTTTGATATCTGTTATTGCTGTTTGTTATTGGCCTTTTTATCAGATGGATGTTAAGAATATTTTTCTTAATGGTCAACTCACTGAGGAGGTTTACACACGTCCTCTCCCTAGCCTTTACCATTCCATTAGACAGGTTTGACGTCTTCGGCGTGCTTTGTATGGTTTGAAGCAATCTTCTCGTGCTTGGTATGATCACTTTCAGATTGCTGTTACTAAGCTTAGATTTCATCCTTGTGCCCAAGACTCTGCTTTGTTTCTCTTCTATACCTCTGTTGGTTTTGTTGCCTTATTACTGTATGTGGATGATATGATCATCCCTGGCTCTGACTCTTCTGCTATCTCTGAGGTCAAGCAGTATCTCTTCCGCACCTCAATACCAATTGTGGTATTTTCTTGGTATTGAGGTGACTTCTTCTCCTAAGGGTTAATTAATGTCTCAGGCCAAGTATGCTAATGAGGTTATTTACCATACCGGTCTTACTGACACTAAGATTTCTAATACCCCTATTGAGCTTAATGTGAAGTTTAACACTACTGACGGTGCCCTTCTAGATGATCATACTTCATATTGAGAGCCTATGAAGCACGGGTACTCCAAAAATGTTGCCATACAAGTATTGGGTACTTACCGGGTACGGGTACGCATGTTGGTACGGCTGCATGCGTATCGGGTACGGCAAAAATGCACCGGGTTTGTTTTATATGATTTGTAGATGCCTGGTACGCTATGGGTATGTTTTTGGGTACGCAGGGTAAAAAACAAGATTTCCAACAATTATAAGGGTACCGGAGCAATTTTTTCTTGTTAATTTTAAAAATTAAATTACTTTGGGTTTCTTTTGTAAAAATAGAAACATAACACAAATTGAAATTAGGTTTATTGTTTTGATTCAATTCTGTCTAGCGAAGAGCACAGTTGACGAGTTTGAAGAAAGAACACAGTTGGCGATTGAACTCTTCTTCGAAGGCGACAGTGCTGGTCGACAGCAACACACGATATTCTGGTGAGTTTCTCTTAGTTCCTCTGCTTCGATTCTTCCTCTTCTTCGATTCTTCTTCCTTTTTCTTTGAATTTTTTTTCCAGATTCTTTTCTTTCTTTTTTCATAGCAAACAAGCAGATCTGTCCAATATCTAATTTTTCTTGTTTCTGGTGAGTTTTCTTACCTCCTCTTGTAGCCAATCTACTCTTCTTTGATTATCGTTTTTTCTGATCTTCCCAACATCTGTTTTTTTTTTTTTTTCCTGATATAATTCTGTAGTAGACACAATTAGGATTATATAAAATAAAAGATAGAAAAATTTAAAATCTAAGAAGACAAAAGAAAGGAACATTTAAATTTAGGGTTCATAAACTGATTCTGATATATTTATTTCATTGTAATTACTTTCATAATATTGATGGTTTTAAATTATTATTTGAATATTTGAAAAATTATATACTCGAATGAAGTGAAAGAATTCACAAATTATTTTGGTTTTGTAATTTCTCTTTTTAATTATGATATTAAGTTTTGATTTGTATGTTGGATATTTAACTTTAAATTATAATAAATAAATAAGTAAAAATAAAAAAATAATTGGCGTACTCTAGTCGTACCCGTACCCGTACCTTATATTTTAAAGAATTTTTCATATCGGCATACCCATACTGTACCAGTACCTACACCCGTGCTTCGTAGTCGAGAGCTCGTGGGTTGCTTAGTCTATCTGACGATTACTCGCCCTTAGGGCTGCAATCGAGCCGAGCCGAGCTGAGTCGAGTTTCACTATGTTCAAGCTTGGCTCAATTTATTTTGAAGGTGTTCGAGCTCAGTTCGAGCTCGAAGCGAGCCCAAATATATGAGCTTGAGCTTGGCTCGCCTAAAATTTGTCCAACTCAAGCTCAGCTCGTTATGGCTGTTAGCCAAGTGAAACCCACATAAGGCTAGAACCTACTACACTTAAATAGAGATCTCTCTATCTTTGAAATACATTGTGTAAACGATGTGGGACTCAAAATTATTTGATAGCTTGTGCTTGTGCTTGTGCTTGTTCCATTTTATAAGCAATGAGAGTTTACCATTCTTCTTCCTTGGGCAATGTGGGACTTTTGGTGCATTTCCATTTTATTACATTCTTTCAGTCCCACATCGCTGAAGAGAGGAACGCACCAAGTCCCTGATGCTTATAAAAAGGAAAGCAAAGGCAAAGAAAGGAAAGCAAAGGCAAAGCTTTCATAGATTATTTTTTATATTAAAATAATCATGATTATTATTGATGGTCAAGTTAAAATATTTTAACAAATATAATAACAATATAATATAATATATATATGTATATTATAATAAAATATACATATATATATATATATAAATTAAAAATTAATATTTATATTTTTTAGCTCGCGAGCTTATTAGAGTCGAGCAATATTGAGCTCGAGCTTGGCTTGTTTATTAATTAAGCTTGGAATTTAAGCTCGAGCTCGGCTCGTTTGGCTCGTTTATTAATCAAGCCAAGTTCGAACGAGCCTTAACGAGCCGAACTCAAGTTTGTTCATGAATAGCTCGGTTCGTTTGCAGCCCTACTCTCCCTGATCTTGCCTATGTTGTTCATGTGGTTACTCAGTTCATTTCTGCTCCTCGTTCTGGATATTGGGCTGTTTTGGTTTGGATTCTTCGCCATCTGCGGGGTACTATATTTTAAGACTTACTGATGTCTTCTACTTCCTCTTTGGGCTTGGTGGCTTTTGTTGATTCTAACTGGGCTAGTGATGTCACTGATCGCGAGTTCACTTTTGGCTTCTGCATGTTTCTTGGTGATTCCTTAATTTCTTGGAAGAAAAAGAAACAGACTGTTGTTACGTGTTCCATTGCTGAGACTGAGCACCGTGCTATGGTTCATTCCACTGCTGAGATTGTTTGGCTTCGTTGTCTCGACTGATTTTGGTGTCCTTTAGTCTTCTCCGACCTCCCTTTATTGTGACAACCACAATGTTTTTCAGATTGCCCATAACACTTTCTTCCATGAACGGATGAAACACATTGAGATTGATTGTCATTTTGTTCGTTAGCATCTGCAGTCTGGCTCTATCTCGTTTCCTTTCGTCTCTTTGACATTGCAACTTGTTGATTTCTTTATCAAGACTCACATCACTACTTGATTTCAATTTCTTCTTGGCAAACTCTCAGTGTTTTTTGCTAAAACACCTTGAGTTTAAGCGGGGGTGTAAGAATATTATGTTACTTGCGTAAATATATTAGATTGATTGTGTGAATATTAGGTTTATTCTTATTTCCTATTTTCGATTAGGTCTAGGATTGCTATAAATATCGATTGTACTCCTTGTATTATACACAATTGAATATACAGATTTATTCAAAAAACTTACAGTAATGGAGATCCTACTTTACTACCATGTAATGGAGAGGATCTCCATCCTGCTAGATGGTAGTTTCTTTTTTATTTTTATTTTTATTTTTATAACTTTTCTTTGAAACTTTTAACCAATTATCGTAGGAAAATAATAGCTTCATTCATCATAATAAAATTAATTTTTCCACAGTGATCTTTCATGCCTTGTTCTTCATTCAATCATATTTTACCTACGTTACACGGACTCGTTCATTTTTGGGAGGTACCCGTGTCGACACGACACAACACGACACGGGTACGGGTACGGGATACGACTGAGATACAGCGAAATAAAAATGGATACTGCTAATTGTTGTTTAATAATATTTTTGTTACAAAATTTCTTTTTTGTTCTTGGTTTGAACAGGAAGAGGGTAAGATGAGAAGAAACAAACCAAGGAAATCCAGAATTTCACAACTTGATTTGAATGGAAAGGAAAAGAAACCTGAAATGTTGACGCAAAGTTCAACAAGACGAAGTCGAAGTGCGAAGTCGATCTCGTCTTCCTTACATGTACTTGTATCGATCTCTTGTTCTTCTCTCTCCAGTTGCGATCTCAATCTCTTGTTCTTCTCTCTCCAATTGCGATCTTGATCTCGTGTTCTTCCCTCTCTCGATCTCTCCTGTTCTTTCGTCTTATGATCTCCTCTTCTCTCTCTCCCTCTCTCTCGATCTGTCTTCTCTCCCATATCGTTCTCAATCTCTCTCTCACCCCAATAGTATTTAAAGATAATAATTCTTCTCTCAAGTCAGCAAGCTACTGACTCCTCTACTTCTATTTAAATAATATCTCACCACTACTCCTCCTTTTTTATTTAAATATAATGACTCTCTCTCTCCCTACTATTATTTAAAGACAATAAAGACTTCTCTCTCACCTCATTACTTTTAAAATAATAACTTTACAAAGATAATAATTATATATATATTATATTTAATTAATTAAATATTATTTAAAAATATTTTTATACTATATTTAATCAATTAAATATTATTTAACAATTTATTTAGATAAGTTTTTAACATGATAATTTAATAAATATTTTTTAAAAATAACTATTTACCGTATCCCCGTACCCGTATCCAAATTTGGATCCATATCCCCCATCTTTCATTTTCAATTTTAAGATGTCCGACCCTTAGATATGCACCCGCACCCAATATTCGTACCCGAGTATGTGTAACATAGTATTTTACACACTCGTGATCCAAGCATTGGAATTGTCATACAACTGCTTAGACATGGTACTTCGGGTTATGGCATGATTGATGGTGAATCATTGGTTAGTATATTCTTAGCTTTGAGAAATAGCAGTATTCTTAGTAATCATTGGAATTGTGGGCTTTCATTGAGAAACTATAGATTAGTTTGACATTCTGGCAAATTTGTAGGAATCATGGAACCATACTCCCAGATTATTTAATTATTTTTGTTCCTTCAAGACTTGTGGTGAACTCTTTCATTCTTTTAGTTGTATTAATGATTAAACCAACGCATCATTATGAAATTATATTATATGTGAGGTTTCTATTCCAAAAAGGAGCTGCCTTTTCAATTTTGTAATCTTGCAGGTGCTTTTATTTTTCAGGTGGATGAGGCTACATTTAATGATGAGGCCGTTGCACTTAACTTGCCTGATGGCCTTGTGCATTTTAGGATGAACTTGGTGGAACTTTTGGTGGATATTTGTCAACTTTTAGGATCTGCTACATTTATACAAAAGGTGCTTATCTTAGACATTTTTTTAATCCATGGACTGGTAATAAATGCTTTACATGCCTACAAACATTAATTTGGTTTTGTATTATTTTTTACTAACTTGGTTAACCTAAAAGTTTAGTAGGTTAAACCCTACAAGTTTTTTCATTTTTGTGTGAAAATAGTTTTCTAAAAAATTTCCGTTTCCAAAAGCGTGGGTTGGTTTTAGAAAATTTTGAAATTTCGGAAACAGTTTGCTAAACAAGTTTTATGTATTTTCCAAAAAGAAAACAAAAAACTAAAAAAGAAAACATAACCAAAGAGGCCATATATGATGTAGTCAAATCAAGAAATGGATTTCATTGGAGAGAGAAAATCCCAAAATGGGTACAAGAGCTCTCAAGCTCTAAAATATTGAATATTAAAATATCATAAACTGAATACTAGAGTGGCCTAACCACCTATTTTTAGGATAAAAGACCCAACTAACTCTAAGTAACTCTTCTAGGACTTAATAGCAACCATATTAATTCTAACTACATTAAAGAAAACTTGTCCTCAAGTTGGGACTACAACAAAATGACTCAAAACAATGACTCATGGAAGTATAATGGATATGCACCAGTGAATAAGACTAAACAGTTACAAGTCCTTATTCAAGATTATCCTAGCAAATATCCTTCCATCAAAATGAGTTCTCGTTTATGCACATCTACTGAAGCCACGTTGAGGTGTGAATAGGCCACCCAAAATAACGCTTCTTGCATGGTCCCAAAATAAGCTCATCCTTCCTCTACGAAGTCGGGCCAGGTACCAAATCAACACAAAGTGGAACAAATGGCTTTGAAGATAGCATAAGAGCCTTTCTCGGAAGCAAAGATCATTCAACACCCATGAAATTTCAACGTCATGACTCTCCACCGTAATTTTCTTGGAATCTAGAAAAGGGATAGAAGGTGGGATTGCAGCCACTTTCTTCATGGGAAGCAATGTAAGAGCAAAACTTGCTTCATCTATAAAACTTTCTTCATTTTCAACGACACCTTCACGCTCTACAAGAAAGTCATCTTCATTGGAACTCCTCCATATTCACAAACATCAACTTCATCTTCATAAGCCAACGCCTCATTGTCGTCGTCTAGGATGGCAACATCTTGATCATAGTCTTGTTCCACATCTTAATCAAAGATGGGAATATCTTCGTCACAAATGGAAAGAGCTTGACCACAATCTTATTTTTGGCCACAATTTTCCTCCATGCCTTTTTCACCAAAGATAGAAGTTTTTTCCTCATCATATCTTGGTTCAACCACCTTGTCACTAAAGAGTATATTATGATGACATCCATCATCAAAAGTTTCTTTCATTCCAACACTAGTTGAGTCACCATGTCATGACCCAAACCCGTCCCTAAAAGTTTGGTCCATGACCGGCCTGTACATTGGCCTCAAAACAAAATTTCACGAATATTTATTCAAATACGGGGTCTTAAGCGGAAGCAAATACCAACATAAAGATAATGCCCATTAAGCTTGTTCATACATGAAGACTTAGATTAATTTAAGCATTTAAATACACTTTCCATATATACATATAATCACAGAACTTATATAGATCTCGCACACAAATACATAAGACTCAATAAAATACATAATTCTCCAATACAAAGTTAAAGCCTCGACACGGAGGCGTAACTCGGGCGGCTTGACAGAAAGGTGGACCTCGATACAACTCTAGTATTGATCCCCGATGGCTCGCCTACATATATAAAATAAAAGGGTGAGCTAACGCCCAGTGAGTAATATTAAAGTAAAGAGGTTAATGAATGATGTTCTTAATATTAGGAAAACATATTTCACAATTTAGAAACGTATCTTAAATCTTTTCAAAACAAACATTTATCTTATCATAATCCATGCCTTTTCGAATGGAATACATAATTGAACTATTATAAAACATTTTACATGGTACGTGGTACGCCCACTTATACAGAAGGTTAGAAGCACATTTTAAAATAGGACATCCATTTATGCCTATCAAATAACGCATCATAACATGAGTCATATAGCGATGTCAAAACCTTTGTATTCATATCATATGTTCTAAACGATCTCGGGTCCACATATATCAAAATGGCCTTGGGCCCAATCATATATCAAAACGACCTTAGGTCCAAACGTATCATATCATATCACTGCATCTGATCATGGAGTAGATGGAAGATCGACATGTCTCCACCTCTCCTTGGGCCCAATTCATATATATATGGACCCAAGAGATGACTCGTACGGATTCTAGAAGTGACTCCCACTGTAGCACGTAGTTCCGTATAGTACTTTGTTCCATGCCAAAAGTCAATAGTTCTTAAAGACCAAACAATTTATATCATGCTATAACATAAACGAAACGAATAAACGGAACGGCCTTAGGCCCACCATATCATATAAGTAATTCACATTTTTTGTTCATAACTTATTTCACATTTCTTGAAAACTTGTGCATTTTGATAAAATTTAACATTTAGAGAATCATGTCATACATAAATCAAGATAGATAATGAAAAACATATCTTTACTATATTATTACTCACTGTGATGGGCTTCTGGTAGCAGTTGGACGATGTCCTTGTCTTGACCTACAATCACAATTACATAACACAACATATGAATATAACCGATCCCTTTCTTTGCTCCTTAATCAATTAGTTATGTTGTCATTAGTCCTCAATAGGTCATAATCCGTGTCAAGGAAAATAGGAGGAAACGAAAGGAAAATGGGTTAGAAGAAGAAATGGTATAAAACCGATAGACAGAAAGTGAACAACCTTCACTAATTTGAGCATATCTATTTGTGTACTTAGAATTTGGGTGTGAGACTACCACCATTGGAAACTAAACTTCCGGGGCTTGAATTTAGGCTCAAGAATCACTTAAAACGGAGTCCAGATGAGGGAGATATGCTTATTTGAAAGTGGGCTAAAACAGGGGTGCCCCGCACCTGAGGGAAATAGGGCCGCACGTGTGGGAATTGAGCTACACATGCGGGACAAGGTGCTTTTATTTCAGAATCAATTTAGGTGCTGGAAGTGGACTGTTGCACGTGCGGGAAGCCCCGCCGCACATGCGGCTCTGGGCAAAATCTGCTGTCCGAAAATCTCTGCTGGCTCTAACACTTGTTATTCCATTTTCTAAGCTAGGTTTCAACTCAAATCACTCAAAATCATGTAAAACTAATGGAAAAACGTGAGATTATTGTTAGAATTTCCCATCTTTACCTTCACCTACTCCACTACACACTCCACTTCACCTACCTCCACTTCACCACACACTCCACTTCACCTAACCCACTATCACCTCCACTACACCTACTACCACATTTTCTTCTATATATAGATTGTATAGGAATTGTAAGAAAACAATCTTGTAGAACATCAATCAATAATAATACATATATTTTTTAACATGGTATCAGAGCAAGGTTAACAACCTAATCATTCTGCTTCACCGGCGGGGGGCAGCCTCGCCTTGGCCGCCCGCCGCACACTAATCCTAGCAAATATCCTTCCATCGAAATGAGTTCGTGTTTATGGACATCAACTGAAGCCATGTTGAGGTGCGAATAGGCACCCATGTAGCATGTCATTTTGGAAACAAGATGTCATCAAAATAACGTTTCTCTCATGGGCCCAAAATAAACACATCCTTCCTCCACGAAGCCGGCTTGGGTACCAAGTCAACACAAAGTGGAACAAATGTATTTGAAGATAGCATAAGAGGCATTTCTCGGAAGCAAAGATCATTCAACACCCATGAAATTTCAACGTCATGACTCTCCACCGTAATTTTCTTGGAATCTAGAAAAGGGATAGAAGGTGGGATTGCAGCCACTTTCTTCATGGGAAGCAATGTAAGAGCAAAACTTGCTTCATCTATAAAACTTTCTTCATTTTCAACAACACGACACCTTCACGCTCTACAAGAAAGTCATCTTCATTGGAACTCCTCCATATTCACAAACATCAACTTCATCTTCATAAGCCAACGCCTCATTGTCGTCGTCTAGGATGGCAACATCTTGATCATAGTCTTGTTCCACATCTTAATCAAAGGTGGGAATATCTTCGTCACAAATGGAAAGAGCTTGACCACAATCTTATTTTTGGCCACAATTTTCCTCCATGCCTTTTTCACCAAAGATAGAAGTTTTTTCCTCATCATATCTTGGTTCAACCACCTTGTCACTAAAGAGTATATTATGATGACATCCATCATCAAAAGTCTCTTTCATTCCAACACTAGTTGAGTCACCATGTCATGACCCAAACCCGTCCCTAAAAGTTTGGTCCATGACCGGCCTGTACATTGGCCTCAAAACAAAATTTCACGAATATTTATTCAAATACGGGGTCTTAAGCGGAAGCAAATACCAACATAAAGATAATGCCCATTAAGCTTGTTCATACATGAAGACTTAGATTAATTTAAGCATTTAAATACACTTTCCATATATACATATAATCACAGAACTTATATAGATCTCGCACACAAATACATAAGACTCAATAAAATACATAATTCTCCAATACAAAGTTAAAGCCTTGACACGGAGGCGTAACTCGGGTGGCTTGACAGAAAGGTGGACCTCGATACAACTCTAGTATTGATCCCCGATGGCTCGCCTACATATATAAAATAAAAGGGTGAGCTAACACCCAGTGAGTAATATTAAAGTAAAGAGGGTAATGAATGATGCCCTTAACATTAGGAAAGCATATTTCACAATTTAGAAACGTATCTTAAATCTTTTCAAAACAAACATTTATCATATCATAATCCATGCCTTTTCGAATGGAATACATAATTGAACTATTATAAAACATTTTACATGGTACGCGGTACGCCCACTTATACAGAAGGTTAGAAGCACATTTTAAAATAGGACATCCATTTATGCCTATAAAATAACACATCATAACATGAGTCATATAGCGATGTCAAAACCTTTGTATTCATATCGTATGTTCTA